AAAAATTAGAGGACGAGACATGATCTTTGCTTTCAAAAATATATATATATATCTAAAACTCTTGTCTTAAATAAAACCTTGCCAGTGAAGTATTAGCAGTATCAGGAGGAACCAAACAACCATTATATTGAATGTGTGTAGCCAGTCTTTCAAAATAAACTGCTTCAGTTGTATACTTTCTGACTCCACGGATGTACATTTGCTACATACTATTAATTTTTCATTTTAGGAGATATAAATGCATTGCAAGGCAACCCTGGAGTACTGCTCCTTTTAATGAAAGGCTAAATCTGTCTTGTCTATGAATTGACAACCTGTATTTAGGTTTCTTGGCACTAATTAAAGAACGTGCTCTCAGCCACCTGTACAGAGGACTGTATTGAAAGCCATAATTTCTCTTGCTAAGGAGAAGGGGGAGAGGCTGCACATTTATCCTGGTATCCTAGGCAATTAGCTCTCAATCAGTGTCATCTGCCTCACCCGTATTATGGAAAGGCATCTACCCAGTGACACTTATTTAAAAATAAGTAACATTGCCATTGTTAAAAGACCTTTCCTATAGAAATAAGCGGGCTCTGGTTTTCCTGGTCTATAACAGCGATACCAGGTGTTTCAGGTTGGGACCCCGGGGGGGGGGTCACAAGGGGGTGTCAGAGGGGTCACCAAAGACCATCAGAAAACACAGTATTTTCTGTTGGTCATGGGGGTTCTGTGTGGGAAGTTTGGCCCAAGCTGTCATTGGTGTTCAGAATGCTCTTTGATTGTAGGTGAACTATAAATCCCAGCAACCACAATTTTCAAATATCAAGGTCTATTTTTCCCAAACTCCACCAGTGTTCACATTTGACCAGATGCCAAGTTTGCTCCAGGTCCACAGTGCTCTCTGGATGCAGGTGAACTACATCTCCAAAACTCAAGGTCAATGCCCACCAAAACCTTCCAGTATTTTCTGTGTTCCAAGTTTGGTTCAGTTCCATCATTGGTGGAATTAGCAATTCTCTGATTGTAGGTTATCTATAAATCCCTACAACTCCCAAATGACAAAATCAATCCCCTCCCACCCCACCAGTATTCAAATTTGGGCGTATCGGGTATTTTTCATTTGGTCCAGTGAATGAAAATACATCCTGCATATCAGATATTTACATTACGATTCATAACATTAGCTAAATTACAGTTATGAAGCAGCAACGAATATAATTTTATGGTTGAGGGGTCACCACAACATGAGGAACTGTATGAAGGGGTTGTGGCATTAGAAAGGTAGAGAAACACTGGTCTATAACCAGATAGTAAAGTACTGACACTTCTCCTTCTCGGGAATCTTAGCCCAATGCAAGTTTTCCTTTAAAAGCTGATACTGTCGTTCCTATTATCCATGGGTTCTTCTTCCATGCATGCATTCACTCAAACACAGCTTGAAAATATTTGGGGGGTAACATCCAAAATGCAAACCTTGAAGTTGCGCTTATGCATAGCCATTCCTTGCTTTAGCCTCCCACCATTTCACAGATCCTTAGGCTCTCATCTGTTTGTAATTTTATATAATGGGAATCATTTTACTACACCATTAGTGGGGTTTGAGCATCCACTGGTTCTTATACTTGGGATTACTTGGAATTTCATATTTATATTTTGCAGACAGCATTTGGCACAGAACAATTGTGTTCTCAAAGAGGCAGCTATTCTTAAAATATAGAGCTTGGTTATTGTTCCCAAGAAAAGCAGCTTGTCTTGGAATGAACTATATGAAAGCTTGCAGGATGTCTCCTGAAAAATAATTATCATGTAATGTCAAAAATATAATTGCAAAGCAGTTTTATTTCTTGTAAGACAGACCTTGTGTAATGAGGGATAAAACGTTTCTAGCAAAAATACTGAGTGTGCAGCGTATTAAATTATTACAGATAGGATGTCTAAAACGTAGGTCTTACTCATTTTCAGAAAGAGAAGGAAGCAGAAACACAGCTCCCACAAATATAAATACTGTCTTGCTCAATTAGAGCAAGGTCTATCCATTTCTGTATTCTCATCCAACAAAGGTGAACCAGGTGACTCTGGGAGCAGAGGAGTCCATTAGGAAGGCATGATCATTTGCTCTCAATGTGAGGAGGTTTTCCAGACCTGACTTGGCAAATAGATGCTGTTGGTAGACTTAAAAATGGTAGACAGAACACTTACTATTGGACATTGTGATAGCACCTAGAGAACTGCTAGAAACAGAACCTTGTCTTTTGTGTGTTGAGCATTATGTTGACTTGTGCGCCAGTTGCGCCCATACCTTGAGAAGCCAGGTTTGACCCCGGTGGTCCATGCTCTTGTTACATCACAAATAGACTACTGCAACGTTCTCTACATGGAGTTGCCTTTAAAGTCTGTTTGAAAGCTTCAAATCGTCCAACGGGCAGCAGCCAGGTTGTTGTGTCAGCTCCACTGGCTGCCAGTCTGCACAATACAAAGCTTTAGCCTATAAACTCTTCCAGCCCAGCTTATCTATCCATGCCTATCTCCCTCTATGATCCACCTCAGAGGCTATGATCATCGGGGGAGGCCTTGCTCTCGGTCCCAACCCGCTTGCAGGTGTCACTGGTGGGGACGAGACAGTACCTTCTCAGTGGTGGCCCCTCATCTATGGAACTCCCTCCAAAATGAAATTAGATTGGCTCCCTCCCTCCTGGCCTTCAGGAAAAAAAATAAAAACATGGCTCTGGGATCAGTGCAATAAGAGACTATAAATTAACATTGATGACATGGATTATATGATTTTAAATTGTTGTTCTAATGTTATGTTTTAACTGATTGGGTTTAAATGTTTTTGTTTATTTATTGATATGTATATATGCGGCATTGAATTGGTGCCTTTGTAAGGCAGTCCAAATTCCCTTTTGGGGTTGAGAAGGGCGGGATACAAGTACGGTAAATAAAAAAAATACATAAATATTATATAAGGCATGCAGTTAGTGCTAAAAGCACCATCTTTTCTGTCAAACACAAAAACACACACACTTTCTCTCTTTTAGATATTCCATCAAAGTAGAGATGTTTCTAGTTCACATTGTTTATGTTTTCTTAAGCTTAAGTTTCAGCTCTTTATCCATTATGTATCCCAAAACTATCTCCCAACAACAATAGACTTAAGGAAACCATGGATGAATTAAAAACATTTACTTAATTGATTTTCAAAAATATTTTTGTTTCAAATGCTTATAATAGAAGGCGGTTTTTTGAAGCAGATACATTTCAAGTGAGTAAGGAACAACATGGACATATATTTCAATGCAATGTTTAGAATCTTTGAAAACTAAAGCTTTGATTTTTCTTGTGTTTTGCAGGACCCAGTGTGAAGACTTTTACTCCGTTTTATTTTATGGTGGAGCCAATGGACACTCTGTCAGTTAGAGCTTCATCTGTTCTATTAAATTGCTCTGCTTATTGTGAATCATCTCCAAAAATTGAATGGAAGAAAGATGGGACTTTTTTGAACTTGGGGTCAGATGACCGACGGCAGCTGTTGCCAGATGGATCTCTATTAATTAACAGTGTCGTGCATTCCAAGCACAATAAACCTGATGAAGGGTATTATCAGTGTGTTGCAACAGTGGAAAGTCTTGGAACCATTGTTAGCAGAACAGCCAAACTCACAGTGGCAGGTAGGTGCCTCCCATTGTTTTCATTTCTAGTGATTATCACCTCTCAGAAACTTGGGTCTGATAATACGATGGAATGTGTGTTTAATTCAGCTTAAATGGTCTATCTTTCTGGTCAGGGAATCTGACTAAAGAAAATGTATATCTTGCACTTAAACACCAGGCAGAGTATTCAGACATTTCCTTTACTTTAAAGGGCAGAATGACAACTAACTTGAGGTGGGCTGGAAGAGCAGTCTATATAAGACCTGTCTGATTAATATACACTCTCCAGCTAACTTCTTGACATTGTTATAGGTGGGTAGACTGTACTGATGTTCCAGAGCCATTCAGAGTCATTCGTCAGATCGGGATATAGGATGGCAACCTGTGCTCACTGGGGTTACACTACCCCTGAGGACACAGGCCCACAATCTGGGTGTCCTCCTGGACTCAGCGCTGATGCTTGCTGCTCAGATGTTGGCAGTGGTCAGGAGGGCCGTTGCACAATTAAAGCTTGTGTGCCAGCTGTGACTGTACCTCAAGAAGTCTGATTTGACCATGGCAGTCCATGCCTTAGTTACCTCCAGATTGGACTACTGTAATGCACTCTACATGGGGCTGCCTTTGAAGACGGCCTGGAAACTGCAGTTAGGGTGAAGGTCGGTGGCCAGGATGTTAACTGGAGCCAGTTACAGGGTTAGCCCCCCCCTCAAAGTTACGGGGTTAACCCCCCCCCCCCTTCAAAGTTCAAACAGTTCCACATAACTTTCCGATCTCAATTCAAGGTGCAGGTTATTACCTATAAAGCCCTAAACAGTTCGGGACTTGCCTATCTTCGCAACCGCATCTTCCTCTACGAACCTATGCGATCTTTAAGATCTTCTGGGGAGGCTCTCCCACCCCCGTCACAAGCGCAGCTGGTGGGGACGAGAGAGGGGGCCTTCTCGGTGGTGACCCCCGGCTCTGGAACTATCTCCCCAGGGAGATTAAGCTGGCACCCACCCTGTCCACTTTTCATAAAGATCTAAAATCTGCATTTGATTAGACAGTTCCCCAGATACTTTGGCCCCAAGCTATGACCCAAGATCTAGTCTTCACACTTTACTACTGTTCCTTGCCCAGAGATATAGTGTTCTACTTCATATTGCCCTTCAACTTCTAATTCTGTCATCTGGCTTTTGCACTTTATCCATTAGTCCTCTCCTTGCAACTGATTGCACCTGCTCGTTCGAGCCCCAGTATCAGGCTATTGGTTGTTTGCTCAATGGTTGTTTTTATACTGTGTTATGATGTTGTTTGTTTTTATATTGTTTTATGAATTTTACTGTGTTATATTTTAAATTATGTTGATTGGGCTTGTCCCCATGTAAGCCACCCCGAGTCCCTTTGGGGAGATGGAGGCTTATTGCAGTGTTGTTATCACTGCATTGTCTGGTGTTGATGCAGTGTTGTTATCACTGCATTGTTAACAGCAATGTAGTGTTGTTATCACCGTATTGTCTGGTGTTGACTTCTGGTTTGTCTAGCTTCAATTCTTGGATTCCCTTTGGCTTTGTTGTTTGTGTTTAGACTGTCGTTTTAACTGTGACTTGGAGTGCACTTAGTTTGGGCTATAATTCAGCCAAGATGGTGTACATTGCTCCTGACCTTTGGGGTTTATGGCCTCACTGATTAGCTTCGCTGGGATTATGGCCTTGCATGTTTTGTGGGATGAAAATCCCAGAAAGAGATGGCTACTGGAAGTGACTCTTCCATTTAGGGGACAAATTCATAGTGCATACTTTCATTGTAGAGCCTTCATGTTGCAAGCTCATTATAATAAGGCTTTGAGACCGAAAGCCCTTTTATACTAGTAGTAAGCAGTTGCTTAGGCTGCTGAGACTGGGTCCCAGCAATATTGTAAAAGGAAAAGCAAAGAGGAAGAGAAGTGGCAAAAATGTTACTGAATGATTTCTGGATGTAAGGGGTGAAGACAGCATGTGGATAAACAGAGAACAAGACAGAGAACTGAGAGAGAGGGGTGGGCTTCTGTGAATGAGAGGAGGGTTATTTTTAAAGAAGGGAGTTTGTTGGTGACAGTTGGGAGAAGACAGCTGAAGGCGTCAGTTGTGAGAGCCAGATCAAAGTGAACGTGTTCTGAGGACTGAATTGATTGATGGAAAAGGTCTGACATGATTCAGTTTGAATATTATTATACTTTGGGAAGTAAGCAGTTAGCATTCTGTATGTTATCAAAACGAAATTGAACTGCTAGTGACTTTGTTAAACCGGACCTTCACTAGCTTCCATAAGCCTGGCACATCGGCTTGTTTACTATAATAAGAACCAACTGTGATAGTAATTTGTTTGCAATCAAGGTCATTTGGAGGCACATGACCCATATGCAAGGAGGGATTTAAATGGGGATCATAGGGCAAGTATCTAAGGTCAGGAACTGTGGAACCAGCTTGGTTAGGCCATTGTCACAGCCCCAAACCATCATATTGACCCCCCTTCACAGATTCTAGACTCACTAGTGTTGCTTTGGTACTAATGTCAGATGTGTCGATTCCTGTCGCTGTTAAATCAGTCTGCAGGGGTGATTTTAAGTATTTAATCTCAATCCTGTGCATGAGTCGCATCAGAAGTCTCTGCGTTGTCCTGACCACCATGGAGAACTCCCTGGAGGTACAGATAGAATTTCTCACACCTTAGTGTAAGCACAAGAAGAGGAGATCTAAAAATACAGAAAGATATCATGCAGCAACAATCCTACTCCAGTGCAACCTTCGTTGAATCATCATTAAACCCAATAAAAAGTCCAGTCCAAATCCAAGTCAAAACATCAGCCTTACAAAAGCAAGATGACTACTTCTTTTTCTCCAAAATTAAAGGAAGAGGGGCCAACCAAGAGCAAGATGGAGGGATGGCATCCCTGAAGTGACTGGCTTGACCTTGAAGGAGCTGGGGGTGGCCACGACCGACAGGGAGCTCTGGCGTGGGATGGTCCATGAGGTCCAAAAGAGTCAGAAGCAACTGAACAACAACAACAGGCAACCAGAGTAGTTGGACCCCCATATACAGAACAACAACAACAGGCAACCAGAGTAGTTGGACCCCCATATACCGTTGGTCCCCCACATTTGTGGTAGCGAAGGATCCAAGATCCCCACAAAACTGGAAAAATAGAGATACTGTAACCCTTCCCCTCGTTACATAACCCTTTCCCACTGACAGCCCAGACCTGTTGCTTTCTTTCCCACCTCGAAGACCCGGTTAGAGTTTAAATCCATTCCCCAAAAATTGACTTCTCCTCACTCTTTCTGCTGCTCCTCCACCTGTTCTTCAGTGTCTTCCAAACAATACAAGCCTCTGAATCCACACATCACCTTCCCATTAGGAAAACTTATCCAGACTTTAAATCAATTGCTACTAAATATCAAAAACATTGGAAATTGTGTGATATTTGGCAGAGTATGTATGTTTTAGAACAACAGCTAAAAACCCCTGAGAAACAAAAGAATAAAAAGCCATATTAGTTTAGAAAGAGAAAATGGCTCACACAGCTGTTTCCTTCATTTCCCTAATGAACTATTAGAGTTTTTTCTTTGCTTAATAAAATGCTCAGGGTAATGAATTCATTTCCATAGTTGCTCCCACATCCCAGTGATGTTTTCTGCCTTTTAAATTAAAAAATCACTTTCATTAAATTGTGTTTTTCTTCTGAAGAACACTCACACAATATATTAGTGCTTGATTCTTATCTGTGGGGTTGTGGGGTTGACAGTCCCAATTATCATTTCTCTAGTTTTCTCTGGTAGGCCTTATGAGTGATCAGGGATTTAACAAAAGAGTTGAATGGTATGCATTGTATCGGTAGTCATAATTTAGGTAGAGCATTGCATTGGTGGGATTTATATCACTATTGTTTCACTACTCAGAAGATAATTCAGTAGCTCTGTCCTGGTTGGGACTATCAATAAGAATGAGGCCCAAAAATAAAAGACAATGCTGTTAGCAGTAATCTGGTTAAAGAGCAGATGGAATATAAGAACAGGGTGGATAAAAAGTACGTATAGTAAAACCTAGCGATGATTATACAGTATCCTAACAAAAATAATGAAATATTTTGTTAAATAAAAAAACCTTCAAGTTGTAATTGGAAGGAAGTTCTGCAGAGTTCGTTTATGAAGTTCTCCCCTCCAGGTAACCACTGTGAATAGGAGCTCCCAGTCGTGTAATGGGTTTAACCCTTGTGGTGGCAGGACTTCTGACTGAAAGGTTGGCAGTTCGAATCAGGAGAGTGGGGTGAGCTCCCACCTGTCACCTCCAGCTTCTCATGCAGGGACATGAGAGAAGCCTCCTACAGGATAGTAAAACATCCCGGTCCCCTGGGCAACATCCTTCAGAGACAGCCAATTCTCTCACACCAGAAGTGACTTGCAGTTTGTCAAGTCGCTCCTGATCCCCCCCCCCCAAAAAACCCCACTGTAAATAATTGGGGTTTAGTGCAGAGTGAAAACCCATTGATATCTCTTTCGCTATGAGGTAATAATAATATCAATGGCTTTTAACAGCTGTACTTCAAGTTGAACAGAAGTTCTCCGAAGCTTTAGGTTCTCTTACTGCCTATTATAGGGGAAACCAGCTGATCCCTAATCCACCTAAAATGCAGATGTTTGCTTTTCAACGTTTACAAGCATCTCAAGCTCTGAGGATGACCTGGGAAGGAATCCCACTGGAGCATTGCAGCACACCCAAATACCTAGGAGTCACTCTGGACCATGCTCTGACCTACAAGAAGCACTGCCTGAACATCAAGCAAAAAGTGGGTGCTAGAAACAATATCATACGAAAGCTGACTGGCACAACCTGGGGATCACAACCAGACACAGTGAAGACATCTGCCCTTGTGCTATGCTACTCTGCTGCTGAGTACGCATGCCCAGTGTGGAACACATCTCACCATGCTTAAAACAGTGGATGTGGCTCTTAATGAGACATGTCACGTTATCACAAGATGTCTATGCCTGCACCACTGGAGAAATTATACTGTTTAGCCAGGTATTGCACCACCTCTGACACCATCAGGAAATAGCAGCTAGTAATGAAAGGACCAAGGCAGTGACATCTCCAGCCCATCCTCTGTTTGGATATCAGCCAGCACGCCAATACCTTAAATCAAAAAATAGCTTTCTAAGATCTACATAGATACTCGCAGGAACACTTCAGCAAGTGAGAGTCCAAAAGTGGGAGGCTAAAATCCGAAACCTCTATCCATGGTTGGTACCAGATGAGAGACTCCTCCCTGACCACACAGAAGACTGGGTGACTTGGAAGGCACTGAACAGACTGTGCTCTGGCACCTTGAGGTGCAGGATCAATCTTCAGAAATGGGGCTACAAAGTGGAGTCCACGACATGTGACTGTGGAGAAGAGCAAACCACAGACCACTTACTCCAATGCAGTCTGAGCCCTGCCACATGCACAATGGAGGACCTCCTTACAGTGACACCAGAGGCACTCCAAATGGCCAGCTTCTGGTCAAAGGACATTTAGTATTTTTAACTTTGTTTGTTGTTTTTTTTCCCTTGTACATTATAATTGTATTTTCAGTTCGCTTCTGACATGATAAAAAAACAGCTGTACTGAATTTTATGATTCTGTAAATAGACAAGCTGTGTTTCACATTGGAATACGTCTGTGGGACCCCTGGGCAATGGGTCAGTGAGTTGGCCTGTTAGACAGAAAGAAATAATGACCAACCATGTGCTCCTAGATGCTTTGCGTTCATAATGCAAGGAGGAAGGCATAAAGAAAAATAACCGTGATCATTCTAATTAGTCTTTCATTTTTCAATTGTTTTTAGGAATGCCAAGGTTCGTTGCTCAGCCGGAGTCAGCATCTGTCTATAGAGGCAACAGCATAGTTCTGAACTGTGAAGTCAATGCTGACCTAGCACCCTTTGTACGGTGGGAGCTAGACCATGAACCCATCTTTCTGGATGACCGTGTATTCAAATTGCCAAGCGGAGCGTTGATTATTAGCAATGCCACAGATGAAGATGGTGGAACATATTGTTGTATTATTGAAATTGGTGGTTCTCCCAAATACAGTGATGAAGCTGTGATTAAAGTTCTTCCAGGTACATGCATATGCGCTTGTTCTCTCTTTCAGTTCATTATCTAAACTCAGAGAAGCTCTTACGGCTTGCTATTCAAAGTGTTTAATTTTAAATTATGTGGTACTCTGTGGTCCTCTAGAAAAACGCTTCATAAAAGTGTACTTAAAAGGCTTTTGTGTTTTTGTGCCCAACCACAGTCTAGAGGACTCTTGAATAACAACAGCGCTTTCTTGTTAATACACATCTTTGCGAGAACGTTTGCCATCTTGGTCACCACAACAAGCTAGTCTGTGGCCAGGACCTGGATCTGTTCCAGATTCTTTAATGTAACTGTTAATTGGCATGTTCATATTTTCTGAAAGTTACAAAATGTTTAACTTGTGAAAGCAAGTAAGGAGCATTGAGTTTCAGGATGTTGTGTTAATAATATGTGTGTGTAGGGGGAAGTTACTAGTCTTGCTTTACATTTTCTTGTGCCGTTCTGATCCTAGCCTTTCTGTTTGCATTATTTGCAGAATCTGAAATGGTGTCAGATCTGGTGTTCTTGAAACAGCCTTCCTCGCTTACTAAAGTGACTGGGCAGACTGCAATTTTGCCATGTGTTGCTACAGGCACCCCTATTCCTGCTATCAAATGGACAAGAAATGAAAAAGAGCTTGTTGCAGAAAGGTGAGTAATAGGTTTGGTGTCACGTCTGCTTTTAATACTCTGCCACTTTTTTCCCAAGTTGTTTGATATCCTTGCTTCTGAAGTGCATCTGACTCACAAATACTGTCAAAATGAGCATCCGTGAGATATATATAAAGGAACATATATTTATTTTTATTTCCTGCTGAGACTTCTTTTATTCATTTCTTTTAGGGAAGAGATGCATGTTATACAAAAGTGTGCAAGAAGGGAAATCTGCCTTTTTCTCCTCATCCATTACTCTGTGTGTTGATGACGGCTAGGTGTGCTGACTGTTTGTGGCTGCCTATTCTGTTGTCTATGAAATTATATATCTTTAAAGCTTCAGTGAATATTTGAAAACTCAGTTGCCATCAAAATGCATTACTTACAATACTGGGTGTGTCTTTTCACACCTGGAAATGGCTGGTGCTTCCAGTTTCTACTGGGAGAGGATGATGGCTACCCCATAAATTGGTTTTCTATTGTATTGTTGAAGGCTTTTGTGGCCAGAATCACTGGGTAGTTGTATTCTGGGCTTGTATGACCATGTTCCAGAACCATTCTCTCCTTACGTTTTGCCTGCATCTATGGCAAGCATCCTCAGGGGTTGTGAGGTCTGTTGGAAACTAGGAAAATTGTGTTTATATATCTCTGAAATGTCCAGGTGGATATTCCACAGATATATAAAACCCATTTTCCTAGTTTGCTCTTCCAAACAATTTGAACAACTAAGTAACGTGTTTGAAAAAGATCTTGGGAGTCCTAGTGGACAAAAAGTTAAACATGAGTCAACAATGGGATTTTTTTAGTCAGGGAAGACCTGCTACCCCTCTATTCTCCCTTGGTCAGACCTGGAATACTGTGTCCAGTTCTGAGCACTGCAATTGAAGGGAGATGTTGACAAGCTTAAATGTGCCCAGAGGAGGATGACTCAAATGATCAAGGGTTTTGAGAACAAGCCCTATGAAGAGCGGCTTAAAGAACTGAGCATGTTCAGTTTGCAGAAGAGAAGGCTGAGAGGAGACATGATGAGAGCCATGTATCAAAATGTGAGGGGAAGTCATAGGTAGGAGGGAGGAAGCTTGTTTTCTGCTGCCCTGGAGACTAGGACACGGAACAATGGCTTCAAACTATAGGAAAGGAGATTCCACCTGAACATTAGGAAGAACTTCCTGACTGTGAGAGCAGTTCAGCAGTGGAACTCTCTGCCCCAGAGTGTGGTGGAGGTTGCTTCTTTGGAGGCTGTTAAACAGAGGCTGGATGGCCATCTGTCAGGGGTGTTTTGAATGCGATTTTCCTGCTTCTTGGAAGAGGGTTGGATTGGCTGGCCCATGAAGCCACTTCCAACTCCATGATTCTATGATTCTAGTACAACAGTTGCTTTGAGAGTCTTCATAGGCTTAAGTCTTCGATCAATAGTGATCAAGTGCTGAGATGCTACTTAAAATTAGGATCTTGGTTCATTCAAGTGAGCCAGCTCCTCAAGATGTTGCTGCTGCGCGTGAGCAGGGCAATGAAGACAACATTATCAATAAGGTAGATGAGGTAGGTTAGTGATATTAAAGAGGAGACAGTGACTCTGTTGCAGTGGTTCTCAACCTGTGGATCCACAGATGTTTTGGCCTTCAACTCCCAGAAATCCTAACAGCTGGTAAACTGGCTGGGATTTCTGGGAGTTGTAGGCCAAAACACCTGGGGACCCACAGGTTGAGAACCACTGCTCTGTTGGATTGTATCATAAAGCATCTCAGCAATCTTGCAACCCATATAGCAAATGTGGAGGAGACTGCTAAGACTGTGCTGAGTGCTGTTAACATTGTGGCCCAAAATACATAAACCCTGGAGTCCAAGAACTCGAGGAATAGCTTGAAATCTTGGATTCTTGAATCAAAAGGTCTGAACATGTTTGCTGAACTTGTCTGTGACTAGGACTAGTTGGTTAGTTTAAGTTAGGATCTTAACTAATCAACTCAAGATGTAACAACAAATAAAAATGAACATTTTCTTCAAAACTATTCATCAAGCTTAGTCTTTGAACTTTTTGTTCTACTTATTCTTTCCTTAGTCATCAATTACAAAAATGATCTCTTTTTGTTCTTGGGCTTTCATGTTTGCGTATAAAAACCTTGACCTATATATTTATCACTTCTCTTCATTAGTGTAGCCTCATTTTTTCCTATCCTAATGTGAACAACGTAAAGGGCAATGTAGTCAGTATTTGTTACCTTCAATAAATAGGGGACCAAAATAAACAAGAATACAGAGCAATGCATTATTGTAACCAGGATTTTAAATTACATTTATTTATTATTGGGAAATTGATATTTTGGGTGGGGGGTGGGTGGAGGAGGGATTTAGTAGATTAATTGCATGTTTAGGCTGCTCAGGAATATTATAAACATTTGTGTTCTTATCTTCTATCACGATTCTGCATACATGTTGTAAATCAGTTCACTAATCTGTTCTATTTTGCACAGCTCTCCAAAGTTTTTGTTGCTGGCTGGGGGGACTCTGAAGATAAATGACATCACCGAAGATGATACTGGAACATACACCTGCATTGCTTACAATGGAAATGAAACAATAGAAATTCAAGCTGAACTTACAGTACAAGGTTTGTGAATACTTTTAAAGAATCAAATGTAATCAAGGCCAGGACATGTTGTGATTTAACTGGAGAAACCAGTGATAGTAATCTTCTATTCTGGAGGTTGAGCATGGAAGGTTTCACAGCTTGGTGGCCGAACCCTTGCAAGATTTGGTCTCTGGAATCTCTGGCTTAGACTTGAGAAAGATCTCTGCTTGAAATCCTGCTGAAGATACTTCTAACATACAGGACAAATGTTGGAAATGTGAAGCCCATGTAGGAACCTTTTACCATATGTGGTGGACCTGCAAGGTAGCAAGAAATTACTGGAAGGGAATACAATAAAGAATCCAGAAAATACTTAAGACTAAATACAAATGAAATCCAAATATTTCTTATTGGGTCTAGCAGATATGGACTTAGGTAAAAATAGACATACCTTTTAATTATTTAGTGATAACTTGCGCACAAACTTGGAGAATGAGAGTAGTACCATGAATAGATGAATGGCTTCTGAAAACAACAGAAATAATGAATATGGACAAATTAACCCAGTTGCTTGTAAACCATCGATGCATTATTAGAAAAGCAACAGATTTGATATTCTTTAAAGAGTATTTGAAAAAAAAATGAGAATGATAATATAGTTCAAGCAAAGAAAGAGAAAAACTGTTTCCACATTGGAGAAGCGTGAATGAGGGGAAGCAAAATTGATCAAGAATTAAAATAAAATAAAGACTTAAAAAAAAAACAATAATGAAGAAGTTGGAGGTCAAACCAACCCCCCCCCTTCCTTTTTAAATTCTTTCCTTCCCCGCTGTTTAACATATTCCTATATAGGTTTTTTTTTCTTTCCTAGGTGGTAGTTATCTCCTATTTCCACCCTAAAATCTTTTTCCTGCCCTTTTTCCTGCCCTTCCTTCCCCATTTTATGATATTGTATAAAAATTGCATTAATAACAATTGTTATATAAACAGATATCACTATTTCTGTGATGTTTCCCCCTCGGTCTGCAGAAGGGAATGGGGTTTAAGGACAGGGCTTAAGATATGGTCCACAAAGGAGACGAGTGGTGGCAGGCAGCAGGCGAGGCGGACGGTGTTCTCCTCTGATTGGCCAAACAGACAGGACTCAGAGGGAAATAGCAGGCAGCAATTCTCCGTGGGCACGTGAGAAGCGCCATGTGGCCTGAAAAGCAGGCAAGGAGATGGTACCTGCTCCCACTTTCTTTTCTTTTGATCTTATTTTCATTCTGGGGGAGGGGTTCTCATTTCATGTTCTCGCCCAAAATGAAAGGAACGAAAGAACGGATTAAACTGCAGAAACAGGTACCGTACCGCATCCACCTCTACTGTGTAACCCCTCTACAAGGAAACATAACTTTCTACTTGCATATGTGTTGTTTTGTTTTGAAATTATATAGGAAATTACTCTCCTTGATTAAAAGCAATGCCGGTTTTCCTTTACTAAATGATGACAGGCTAGTGTTTTTTTGGTTTTTTTTTCATTTACCTTATCATCTTCGCTCAGGAAGTTACATGGAGACAGACAGCTCCTGACAAGGTTATAAGTTCACTTTTCCACAAGGGAATTTTTTTTTTTGTTTGTTAGTCATTGTCTGTGGCTCTCCAGAGACTCCTGAAAATACTGTGACGTAAATGCCATTGCTTTGGGATTTCCTGACCTGTCAGTTTCAAACTGAGCAGTATGTTGGGAGGTTATACTAAAGGGCATTTCCTTAAAAATACCTCATTGAGCACAAAGGACTTACTGTATTGGAAATCAAAGGTTGGGTTTCATATTTCCAGGACATAATGGTGAATTGTTTAATAGTTTTCAGAAAATTCTGTCAGTATTGTTTTGTAGTTTGCCTGCTATCAATTTTTAGATGGAAATTATGAATTGGGGCACATTCTCAGTACTCAGTAAGGCTTGGCGCATGGTAAAATCAAAATTTGTCTTTTAGTTGGTTGAATCTGGCTATGGAGGGTCTACTGCTTTATATCTGGAGCAAAGCAGCTTTCAACTCTCATTGCATTCCGTAGTGGATTTTGGGAACACAATGTTTTAATTAACATTGACAACAATGTATTGTCTTTTTCACTGGCTTTGCCTATGCAAATATTTAGAAAAAGCGGTTTTGGTTTTCTCGTATTGACTACACATTGTAGGATACATGTTTGGCCAGAGATTTGGAGGAGAGGAATGTCTTCAAAAGTATTTTCTTTTGGCACGAAAATCGCATCATGTCAGTTTTGAAAATGGTTAATAAGGCAATGAGTAAACAGAATGCAAATGTGTGATTGCTTCACTCCTTTTATTTGGCTTACTTTGTTGTTTTTTTTCACCTGCCTATTTTCTGCCATACATGTAAGCACAATAAAATGTGCATAATTAACTCTCCACACTAATCACTTTGTGTATGAAAAGTGCCCACTTGTTTTCTGGGTGAGTGTGGGACTGGGCGAAGGTGAAGAGAAAAAAGGAAAGCAAGGCTGCTTTGAAATGTAATTATCTGGTGTGAAAATATATAATTTTCCATTAACATTTTTAATGTATGTGATTGACTCATTTGCTTTCTGGTGATGGAGTTTAATTTGCCTGCCACAACGATCTACTTGTACCTGATTGATATGAATTTGGAATATTGGATGTAATTAAGTGACAGCATTTCTCTCCTAGTACGGCATTTCAAAATGCATTAATGGAAAGAAAATATATAATTAATGTTCAACATTGGTAAACAAGGCTTCTCCTTCTTCTTCATTACCCCAGACTGGATAAAAGTCAGAAATAAAATCACACTCTGTCACCATTTCCTCTATTAGCAACCATCAAAAATATGAACTCTTGTTATTTTCTAATATGCTTTGTGTTTGGACATGGTAGTAGAAATGAAAAAGACGCCTCTTTCTGTGTAGTTCTGTGTTTTGGTTATTATTTATGCCCTTTTTTCTGGCACTCTTGCCTGGACCCAAACATGGAGGATAATTTTCTTCTTCCTTGGTAGTTTTTCAATATGCTCAAGCCATATCAGGCATGCCTGATCATTAATTGGTTAATGTACCTTTTGTTTCTTTTCTCGAAGCTCCTCCTGAGTTTCTGAAGCAGCCATCTAATATCTATGCTCATGAATCCATGGACATTGTGTTTGAATGTGATGTGACTGGAAAGCCAGCTCCCTCAGTGAAGTGGGTTAAGAATGGCGATGTCGTGATCCCTAGTGACTACTTTAAAATTGTAGTAAGTATATGTTAAGTATGAAATCTATGACCTACTTGTCTTATAGTTGGTATGTGGTCTGTCTACATTTGGCCCATGAAAGTATTGATTTTTAAACTTTCACTGTTCTCCATTAATTATTATTCACCAGTGTTGTAGAACATCATTAAGGTAAAGGTATAGGTTTCCCCTGACATTACGTCTAGTCGTGTCTGACTCTAGGGGGTGGTGCTCATATTAATTTCTAAGCCGAAGAGCCGGTTTTGTCCATAGACACCTCCAAGGTCATGTGGCCAGCATAACTGCACTGAGCACCGTTACATTTCCACAGAAGTGGTACCTACTCACATTTGCATGTTTTTGAACTGCTAGGTTGGCAAAAGCTGGGGCTAACAGCGGGGGCTCACCCCGCTCCCCAGAGTTTTTGGTCAGCAAGTTCAGCAGCTCAGAAGTTTAACCCACTGCACCACCTATTACTCTCATTTTCTTTGTTGAACAGCCCAAAGTCTACTAAAACATCAACAAACTTATCACTATTATCTTGAAGCTCATTATTCTCGGGACCGGGAGTTTCAGCCTCTGAACTCCTTTCCCTGGAGACTGTCTCTGTTGCATCCTCTGGGATGTGGCTGTGACTAGTTGGAGACACAGACTGCTCAGTTTCAGGACGTAAAATCTCTGCCCCAGAATCCCCATTAACAGTAATATCAGACACCACCATGGACTGAACTGCAACAAAACCTTGTAAGCTTTATATCTTTTCATTTATACTGGTGAAAGAATTTAGACAGACTGGTTTGAACTGGTATGGGCTGACATTTTCTAAATTCTGCACGTGTTTTGCCAAGTTACTTCCCCTCTGAGTGACACCTCATTTTAATTGTGAATCACCCCTTTCTGGATCCCTTGACTGTAGTCTGATATGTTTATTCCATACATCTGTTCAGTTCAGCTCTGAGAAAAGAATGGCATCAAGAATATAAGCATTTCGGATGAAGAAGAATTGCTATTTTCATACCTCATGGAGAAATTGTTAGCATGTTTAGCTGTCAGCCCGTGTGATCCCCAAAGTGGCAAAGCAAGACACTTATTACAATCTCAGTGTCTCCCTGAGGACTGGACTGGCTACCTTGGCAGAGCTGCAGCCATGAAAACCAATAGTGCGAGACTCCCACAGCCCCAGCCATTTTTACCTTTGGCAACCTTCCCTTATATGAGCAACAAGCAGGCTTATTTATTTATAATTACTTTAAAAACTGTGTTCCAGTCCTATTCCCAGGGCTATTTAGAAAAACAATACAGCCAGTAAAATACAAATACAGCGCGCTCTTGGTATCCGTTGGGGTTTGGTTGAACAACCCTCTATGGATAGGAAAATGTAGATGCCCGAGTCCCATTATATACAATTGTGTAGCAAAATAGTGTCCGTTATATAAAATGGCAGTCCTTTTTGGAGTATTTGGGGAGGAAATATTTTCAGGTTGTTGACTCCATGAATACAGAATCTGTGGCTATGGAGGGCCGACTAGATGTGAAAAGGTTTGGAAGCCTCAGATATAGCATCAACATTACGTTTGAATTACGTTTGAAGTTCAGGCGTCTGCGGTAGTCAAGAGGGCTTTTGCACAATTAAGACTCGTGCACCAGCTGCGACCGTACCTCATGAAGTCAGATCTGGCCAGGGTGGTCCATGCCTTAGTTACCTCCAGACTGGATTACTGTAATGCACTCTACGTGGGGCTGCCCTTGAAGCCCGGAAATTTCAATTGGTTCAACGGACGGCAGCCAGGTTGTTAACTGGTGCTCCTTACAGGGAGCGGTCAACCCTCCTGTTTAAGGAGCTCCACTGGCTGCCGTTCATTTTCCGGTCCCAATTCAAGGTTCAGGTCATCACCTATAACGCCCTAAACGGTTTGGGATCTGCCTACCTTCGTGACCGCATTTCTGTATACGAACCCACATGATCTCTCCGTTCATCTGGAGAGGCCCTGTTCGTGATCCCACCTGCATTGCAGGCACGATTTGTGGGGACGAGAGAGAGGGCCTTTTCGGTGGTAGCCCCCCGACTCTGGAACTCACTTCCTAAGGACATCAGGCAGGCCCCACTGGCAGTCTTTAGGAGGGGCCTGAAGACGTTGGTTGTTATAGTGTGCCTTCCCAGAAGAAGGAAAACTTTTAGCAATATGTCCTCAAATGCACTTTAACATTGATTTAGGATTGTCTGTGCGCCCTCATCTTTCTTTGAAAACCCTATCCTAGTTATACCCTACCTTGTTCATGCCCAGCGTTATTTTAAAATTTTAAATTATTACATTTGGCCTGGCCATAGGTTTTTTAAATGCTTGTAGGTTATTGTCATTGTTTATTGTTTATTTATTCTTTATGAGATTTATTTTAACTGTTTTGTATTGATTATTTTGTTATTGCTTTTGTTTATTGATGTACTTCGGGCTTGGCCTCATGTAAGCCACACTGAGTCCCTTGGGGAGATGGTAGCGGGGTAAAAATAAAGTTGTTATTATTATTATTATTATTATTATTATTATTATTATTATTATTAATTATAGAAAGAAAACTGGAAGGATTGAAATGGTACCTAAAAAGAAAACAAAACAAAAATGTTTTTGCCTGGTTTTAATGGAATCTATGATGAAATCTTTTTGATCTAGGTTAACTCTTATACAGATTTCACTTGGTTTTGGTCTGGTTTAGGATTTTAGGCTTTCCTGAGTAGAAAATACTACCTTCACAGCATGTCTCTTCTTTATTTAGAACGAACATAACCTACAGGTTTTGGGTCTGGTGAAATCGGATGAAGGTTTTTATCAGTGTATTGCAGAAAATGATGTTGGGAACATACAGGCCGGGGCCCAGCTGATAATACTGGATCATGGTAAGAAACTGAAATCTTACTTGAAAAAAATTGGCAGTGAGTCTTTTTCAATCATAAGGTTACTGTCTTGTTTCTCCATGAAGAAAAACTGCTTGTTCTTGCTCACCAGTCCTCTACTATAGCATTATGTAAAAATATAGTAATGCTGAAATGAATAATGATTATTTTTAGTAGTTACGTGTAGTTAAAAGGTAAAGGTTTCCCCTTGACATTAAGTCTAGTTTTGTCCGAGTCTGGGGAATGGTGCTAATCTCTATTTCTAAGCCAAAGACCTGGCGTTGTCCATAGACACCTCCAAGGTCATGTGGCCAGCATGACTACATGCATCACTGCTACCTTCCCGTACCTATTAATCTACTCACATTTGCATGTTTTCGAACTGCTAGGTTAGTAGAAGCTGAACCTAACAGCGGGAGCTCACCTCGTTCCCCGGATTTGAACCGTCAACCTTTTGGTCAGCAAGTTCAGCAGCTCAGTGGTTTAATCTGCTGCGCCACTAAAGGACCCTACATTAAAATCCCATTACAGGGCTATTTTTGGAAAAAAAAGTGTCTCTTAGAAAAATAATACATTTGTGTGTCTCTCTGTGTTTGTAGACATGCACATGCCTATTTTGGGACTCCTCTCTCCCCCCCCCCCCCCCCCAATACTAAATAACATCTTTTTGTAGGGTTTTGAAAAGTTGAGCATTTGTCTCTGGAGTGCCTTTCATTGGTTTCTTGAACACTGTTCAGTCTACTGAAAAAAGAAATATGGAGAAATCATGAAGCATAAGGGTTTTTTTGTAGCTGTGGAATCCAAAACGTTGCAGAAAGGAAAGGATGAAATAAACACGATAAAAATGTATTCCGGTGAAATTGACTTGACTCTAAAACAGTAGTATGGAAATTATACTAGTAATAGAAAAGAAAATTCTTTATTATTTGGGGTGTGTTATATTTTATTTACGACTTTCTTATGCCTAAGCACACTGTAGATTTGAGATCAATTGCTTGCTTCTTTGAAGCCATATATATGAAGATTTAATAGTTCCCAAGAGTAAAAATATTTGTATTAAAGCTAGAGGCTGTTTATTTACAAAACAGTGTGCATAGTTTTCCAAATTTTGAGGAATAAATATTAGGAAATACATATTAATGACATAGTTTTGTTGCTTCTTTTCTTTTGGAATCTGTAACTTCAAATTCATTATTTTAGCTGTACACTTGCATACATACGTATCCTTCCAATAATAATAAAGAGAGTAAAATAATAAATATAATAAAAATAGACTAAAATAACGGAAATGTAATAATAACAGTAAAATATAGTAAAATAATAAATGTAATAATAATAATAATAAATAGAGTAAATAAATAAAGACTCCGGCACAAGCCAGTAAAGGTGGTCCCAGTGGTGGCCGGTACACTAGGTGCAGTGCCTAAAGACCTTGGCCTGCACTTAAAAACAATAGGTGCTGACAAAATTACCATCTATCAGCTGCAAAAGGCCACCCTACTGGGATCTGCACGCATTACTTGCCGATACTCCACATAGTCCTAGACACTTGGGAAGTGTCCGACGTGTGATCCAATACAACAGCCAGTGTAGTGATCTTGTTTGCTGTGTACTAATCTTGTTGTGTTTCAAATAACAATAAAATAATAATTTATTTCTATTCCACCCTCTCTTGAGAGGACTCAGGATGGTTTACACATAAAATAATAAATGTAATAACAATAATAGAGTAAAATAATAAATATAATAATAACAAAAATAATGAATGTAATAAAATAATAATAATAACAGAATGATGATGATGATGATGATGATGATAACTTTTACTTAAGTTTAAGCCGAGGGGTTTTTTTTCAGCCTAAAAAAGGCTGAAAAACTCAGCTTATACAAAAGCATATATAGTAGATTTGTACCCCAGCCTTCCTTCCAAAATTGAGATTGAAGGTGGCTTCCAGTGCAATTAACATACAAGCCATAGTGAGGTACAAGTACATAAATTAAAATGTATTATGAATACCATAGAACAGTCAAAATATTAATTTAAAGGTTCGTGAGAATGGAATTAAAATGTTAAAAGGTCACATTTGTCAGAAATACTTAAATCACATGTTGTATCATTGGGTGGAAAGAGATAAGGATGTCCTTTATTGCTTGTATGTGAAAACAAATCCTGCCTTTGTGTTGGTTTTTATGTTGATACTGAGTTATCTTATCTAAAAACAGCATCACTTCTGATTGGGACAACAGGAAAAGATGTTTTCCTCTTTCAATTCAATTTTGATGCATTGATAGCGGCACACCTTTTTTTCAATTAGCGGGCAGGACAGGAAATAATGGAACGACTTCCTTTAAAACATGAAAGTATGTTTGAAAAGTATGTCACGAGTATGGGAGGAGTGCTTTTATCACACGTTTATGACTTCCTTTAGGAGTTTACATTGGAAAATTCAATATCATTCTCGCCAGAAAGAATATGAAATTTGAACTGATGGACTCAGGGTATAGTCCCAAAGCATGTAAACATCGGGTTAGCTAGCTACTAGGATTTCATTAAATTAGATCGTGTTTTTAGGGCTTTTCATGATGATAGCAATTACTTCGTTTTAAGAAATATATAGAATTGTAGGAACAGGAGGAAAAAAATATACAAAAACTAGAGACCTGTTTTACTGTTCTCCAGGTTGTACACTTCAGTTTATCTGAATGCTTTTTCTAAAAGCAGGAGAATGAAGAAAGGAGGGAGTGTGGGATAGTTGTTTGAGTATTAGATCAGGACCTAGAGCAGATATGGGCAAACCCAGGCCCGGGGGCCGGATGCGACCCATTCGGCTCTTTTCTTAAGCCTCCCTCTCTCACAGCGCTCAAATTTCCTTCCTTCCTTCTCTCTTATCTTCCTCCTTTCCTTCTCTCTTATATTCCTCCCTTCCTTCTCTCTTATCTTCCCCCCTCTTTCTCTCTCTCTCTTCCTCTCCTCTTATCTTCCCCCCTCTTTCTCTCTCTCTCCATCCTTCCCTTCCACCCTTTCACCATTCCTTCCCTCATTCCTCCCTCCTTCCCTCTCCCCCTTCCTACCTACCTACCTACCTACCCCATTGAGCCAAGAAGCAGGAAAATCGCATTCAAAGCTCCCCCTGACAGATGGCCATCTAGCCTCTGTTTCAAAGCCTCCATAGAAGGAGCCTTCACCATACTCCGGGGCAGAGAGTTCCACTACTGAACAACTCTCACAGTCATAGAATCATAGAGTTGGGAGAGACCTGGTGGGCCATCCAGTCCAACCCCATTCTGTCAAGAAACAGGAAAATTGCATTCAAAGCTTCCCCGACAGATGGCCATCTAGCCTCTGTTTAAAAGCCTCCATAGAAGGAGCCTTCACCATACTCCAGGGCAGAGTTCACTGCTAAACAGCTCTCATAGTCATAGAATCATAGAGTTGGGAGAGACCTGGTGGGTCATCCAGTCCAACCCCATTCTGTCAAGAAGCAGGAAAATTGCATTCAAATCACCCCTGACAGATGGCCATCCAGCCTCTGTTTAAAAGCTTCCAAAGAAGGAGCCTCCACCACACTCCGGGGCAGAGAGTTCCACTGCTTAACAGCTCTCACATAGAATCAAAGAGTTGGAAGAGACCTCCTGGGCCATCCAGTCCAACCCCTGCCAAGAAGCAGGAAAATCGCATTCAAAGCTCCCCCTGACAGATGGCCATCTAGCCTCTGTTTCAAAGCCTCCATAGAAGGAGCCTTCACCATACTCCGGGGCAGAGAGTTCCACTGCTGAACAACTCTCACAGTCATAGAATCATAGAGTTGGGAGAGACCTGGTGGGCCATCCAGTCCAACCCCATTCTGTCAAAGAAGCAATAAAATTGCATTCAAAACTCCCCTGACAGATGGCCATCCAGCCTCTGTTTAAAAGCCTCCAAAGAAGGAGCCTCCACCACACTTTACAAGGGGCAGAGAGTTCCACTGCTCTCACAGTCAGGAAGTTCTTTCTAATATTCAGGTGGAATCTCCTTTCCTGTAGTTTGAAGCCATTGCTCCAGGGCAGCAGAAAACAATTATTATTATTATTATTATTATTATTATTGACACAAAAGCAGTGTGTCACAGCAAACGAGATCTATATGCTGGATTTCATATCACAAAATCACAAGTTGAACATTATTATTATTATTATTATTATTATTATTATTATTATTAGCTGCATTTGTATGCCGCTTTTCTCACCCCTGGGGGGGGGGGGGTCTCAAAGCAGTTTGCAACATAATAAATGGCAAATTCAATGTCTCGCACATATATAAAAATATTACATATCTAAATCAATAACATATAACTGTAGATAAAAACCATTAACACTATAAAAACATCGAACAGACATAAGCATGAAACATATTAATTACTGAAATTAACAATGTAGACCCCATCTCTTCTCCCCCATCCACTCCCCAACTCTCTCCATAGCATTTCAGCCCTTCTTTTTATACTCTTCCTGCTCCCCCCACATCCCAACAGATACAAAGTTATTTAGGTACAAATTGAATACAAAATGGGGAGGGGAAAAAAAAAACAAGCTTACTCCCTCCTCCCTATGATTTCTCCTCACATCTTGATCCCTGGCTCTCATCATGTCTCCTCTCAGCCTTCTCTTCTTCAGGCTAAACATGCCCAGCTCTTTAAGCCACTCCTCATAAGGCTTGTTCTCCAGACCCTTGATCATTTTAGTCGCCCTCCTCTGGACACATTCCAGCTTGTCAACATCTCTCTTCAATTGTGGTGCCCAGAATTGGACACAATATTCTAGTGTGGTCTAACCAAAGCAGAATAGAGAGGGAAGCATGACTTCCCTGGATCTAGACACTAGACTCCTATTGATGCAGGCCAAAATGCTTAGGTTGTTTCTTTTTTTTTTAGCGCCATCACATTGTTGGCTCATGTTTAACTTGTTGTCCATGAGGACCCCAAGATCTTTTCCACACATCCTGCTCTTGAGCCACGCGTCCCATA